TATTCACAATAGCAAAAAGGTGGAAACCACCCAATGTCCCTCATCAGATGAATTCATTACCTAACATTGAAATATTAATCAACCATAAAAAAGAAATTCTGATATATACTACAATTTAGATGAACTTTGAAATGATGCTGAGTGAAATATTTAAGATAAGTAAATTCAAGAAACAAAATCCTTCGCTATCTAGTCGATTCCAACTCAATGTGACCCTAGACAACTTAGTATAATTGCCCTATACGGTTTTCAAGGCTGTAAGTTTAATGGAGGGGGTATGGTGGCGCCATAGGGTAATAACTGGGCTGCAAACCCCAAGTTCAGTGATTTGAGCACAACAGCGGCTCCTTGGGAAATAAATGAGGCCTTCTGCTCCCGCAATGATTTACAGCCTCGGAAACCCTATACAGGATCGCTGCGTCTGAACCAACTCAACCTAAGTTAGCAACAACAATCTTTTCGGAAGGTTACAGCATCTTTCTCCAAGAGTGGCTGTTGGGTTCAAACCTCCAAATTTCTGACTAAAAGCTGAGTACTTAACCACTATGCCACCAGGACTCCTTAGGCAAACACATGTTGTGGTGGTTGTTGAGTCGGTTCATACTCTTTGCAGGAGCAGAAAGCCTCATCTTTCTTCCACAGTGAACTTGAACGGCTGACGTTGTGGTTCACAGTCCAATGCTTATCCTACAGAGGTTACCAGAGTTGGAGGGATAGGGAAATGCTAAGTTATTGTGTGTGAATTGGTACAGAGCTTCTGTTTGGGATGATGAAAAAGTTCTGGGAATTTGTGAAGATATTTGACGACACTGAATTATATATTTAAATGGTTAAAATTAAACAAAAAGTAATTAATCTCATTAATTAAAATTATTTTTAAAAAAGGAATGTGCCAAAAAAATTCAAAATAATAAATAATATTGGCTCTGGAAACAAACTGCCTAGATTTAAGTTCTGACTTTACTATTTAATACCTGTTACTTTGAGGAAGAAACTTGATTTCTCTATGCAGTTTTCTCCTCTGAAAAATTGGGAAACACTACCTACTTCATGAGCACGCTGTAATTAGGTGGTTTTTAAACTTGCATGTCTACCACCTGGGAGAACTTGAAAAAAAAGAAGGTACAGATCCTGTCCTGGCTTGGGCATGTTTTTCATTAGTTCTCCAGAAAATTCTGATACTGAAGTTTGAGAAATGATGTAAAGTTACCATTACCTTGGTACCTAAATGTTGACACATTACTCCCAGTATACATGACCAGTACAAAGTATAGTGGGGCTAACACCTTCCTCTTTCTATAGACTATTCTACCAATTTAAAATTACATATACTCTTTTAAATTAAAGCATAGAACTGATTAGCATTAAATTAAAATGATCAAGTCTTTTTTTCCACAGTGTCTATTTGTACATTAGGGTTCTAGATTCTAAATGCCAGCCTTTATCATTATTCCTATGAAAATGTTAAGAGTACTAGGACTAAGAGTTTCAGATTACTATTTCTAAATCTATCAACGGCCCGTAAACAGACTTATCTTAAAAGGAGAAATCACTTGAAGTTTAAGCCTCTATACTTAGGTCATGGACATACTTAACCCAAATAAAGGTACACCAAGTCTACCAACCATTGACCTGACAGCTGATTGCACCATATGATCTCTGTGTAGAGCAGCTGTCAACAAGATCAAGAAGTACAAGGTCCTAATACTAATAGATTTACCTTCTAGAGAGCATGATGGAACAAACATCTTCAGAAAAGAGGTCCCTAGATAGACACATTAGTGCTATGAAAACAAACGTACTACTAGTAAAAAGCCATGGGACCAAAGGAATGATGATACTCAGAAAACTAAATTACTCCTAAATTTGAAGACTTTTTGTTTTTGTTTCTTAGGCTAGTAAAGAAGAGCTAACACCTATGAGTGAGTTCATCCACATTGAGGATACTGCAGAGGGGCACTGGGTAAGGGCCATGATTCCAAATTTTAATAATTTCTGGTTTTACCTGTTATTATTTCT